CTTTTACAAGGATGCTGGGGATCAAGCTCAAGTCCTATGCTTATATGGCAAGCTGAGCCATCTTCCTAGTGCTTCTTTTTTCTTTTTGTTTTCAGTGTTGGTTGATGCTTGGAACCCAGGGCTTTGTGCATGCTGGGTAAGTACCACTAAACTACATCTTCAGCCCTTGACTTTGGGACCCAAGGTCTTGCTATGTAGCTTATGCCAACCTCAAACTTGCTATTCTCCTGCCTCATTCTCTTGAATGCTAGGATTACAGGGGTGTGCCACCATACCTGTTGTCTGCTGCTCTTTACCTTGAATTTCTGTTTCAGTCTGTCTCTGTCACTGCCTCTGGCTCTTTCTGGCAGCCATGTGTTGGTGCCACTGACATGGGCTCAGGGTAACTGAGTCTCTGCATTCCTTCCCAGCCAAGGCCGCAAGGAAGTCACTTTGGTAGCTTTAGATCAGCCACAGTGGGAATATTTACACCATGGAAATCAGCTTAGTTTTTTGACTTTGCTTTGTTTTGTTCTGTTTTTCCGAAAGTCAGTCCAGGAGCACACCGCGCTATCCTCGTCTCTTCCTTTGTTCTCTTCCTCTTCGCATCTCCCTGGCTTCCTGCCTCTGTCTTTGGTCTTCTATCTCTGTCTTTGTCTCCTTCTTTCCTGGTTTCTCCCCGTCTTTCCTCTGATGTACAGGATCACATGCAGTATGGTCCTTCCCAACATTGGGCCACTCGGACACCTTGTATTCCCCATGCCTAAGCCCCTTAGTATACTCATGCCAAGAGCCAGGCTCACAAGGGCCACTGTCCCCTCAAGTCTGGAGGGGGTGAGAGAACCCCAAGAGCTACTTACCACTGCCTGCTGGCCACATTGTCAAACTTGCCCATAGAGCTTCCAGGCTCCTCAGAGGCTGAGTCTGGACTCTTCCTTCCTCACAGGCATGTAGAATCTGTGAACTCCCCTTGTGCCAATACAGATATGTCCTTGTAATATGCACTTGGGTATTATTACACGTGGCAACATTGTACCTACTGCAGACCCCAGTGTTGTATCTTATAGAGGAGTGCTCTGGGTGGGGCTGGGTCTCAAGGGGTGTGCTGTGCACATCTCAGTGTGCCCCTACTTGTGCACAAGCTCTTGGGAATGGCTGCAGTTCTTCATCTGTGACAGGCAATAGAGGGAAATGGCTGAAAGCTCAGATTCTCACCTCAAATGCCAGGATTCCTCATGTGTATGATCTTGGACAAATTTCCAAGTGCCTCTGTGCCTCTTTTACCTCATCAATAATAGTAATAATACTGAAAAATGGAGTTGTAGGAGCTGGAGAGACAGCTCATGGGTTAAAAGCACTTGCTGCTCTTGCAGAGGACCTAGGTTCAATTACCAGCACCCATATCAGGCAGCTCACAACTCCCTCTAATTCCAGTTCCAGGGGATCCTATAACCTCTTTTGGCCTCTGAGGGCATCAGCCATGCACATGGTGTATGTACATACATGTAGGCATAATACTCATACACATAAAATAAAATCTTTAAAAAGAGATTATAGTAAGGATTAAATTAATTGGTACAGATAAAGTACTTAAAGCAGTGGGAGGCACAGAATAAGGGGTGTAATTCTGTATTTATTATTCTTGTGGAGAAGCTACAGGGTGTGTGTGTGTAGGTGTGTGTGTGTGCGCACACACACGTGCACATGTGTACAATGGATGAGGTCTGGAAGTTGGTATTCACAGAGTGCAAATACAATTGTAGATGTATGTGTCTAGCAACCAGTACAGATGAACATGGAGTCTGTATGAAGCTCTGTGTGTTGCTATGAACATGCATATGTCCAGGAGTGCATCATGAAGCCTGTGTAGCTCAGTGCATGGTTTGAGGTGTTTGCTTGTCTTCCTGTGAGAGACCTTCATTCTCACCCATAACCCTTGCTTTCTTATCAGCCCATATCACCTCTCCTTTGCCCTGAAACCCCATCAGCTCAGCTCTGGGGGCCTCCTTTGCCTCTGCATTTATTCTTTCCTGGCCTGAACCGGTCTTGCATGAGGCTATTTTGGGGCAGGCCTCTGGCCGTGGCCTGCCTCATAGTTCACCTCGTGGGTGTCACCCCTCACCTCAGCACACACAAGAAAGCAGATTCAGTGAACAGTGAGGAGGTGGGTAGTGCCAGGATGCATTTCAGGTCTCTGAGTTGACAGAACTCAGGTCTGACAAGCAGACCTGTGAGGTCCAGGAAGGAAAGTTTCCTGGAAAAGGTGAGTGTTCTGGAAAGAAGAACAGAACCCAGAGGGAAGAGGAAGAGGATGTTCATGGGGGGTGGGAGGGAGATCTGGATGGGGAGTTGAGCTCTTTAGGGCCCCAGTGGGGGACACTGGAGCTCCCTGGGTTGGCCCCACTCTACAACACTCTCACATCTTAAGAAATCAGCCTTCTCCCCAGGCAGTTCCTCTCTGAGTGTTGCAATGACAGTCATTGGCAGGGGTGGGGGATGGAGTGAGGACCCCTTGCTCAATGACCTTCCTGTGGAGTTGCTTAGAGTTACTGTTGGGAAAGTGCTGTTTGTTCAGGGAGCTCTTCAAGAGACTATGGCAGCCCCAGCTTCTGACTTGGGCCTTTCCCTGATTTGGGGATAGGAGTCTTGCTATGTGGGTAAGTGTCCACTTTCATTCTGGTGCCAAAGGTGAACTTGAGTCTGCTAGAACTTGTCCAGTCCAGGCTGAGAGCAGAGGCAGGGTTCCAGGAAAAAGCCCATTTTTAGGAGACAGCCATTGGGGTCCTGTGAGTGACTATCAAACATGAATTGATAACAATCCAGTTAGAAAGATGAGCTTATGTGTGACACTATGAGTATGTGAATGCGTTGCTCTGAGAGGCATCCAGATATATCTGTACATATATATGCATGTGTATGTAAATATATGCATGTATATAAATATTTTTATTTATTTTATTTTATGTATATGAGTGTATTGCCAGCAAATATGTAAGTGCATCCGTGTTGTGCAGTGCCCTCGGAGGTCAGAAGAGGGTGTGAGATTACCTGGAACTGGAGCTACAGAGGGCTGTTAGCCAGCATGTGGGTGCTGAGAATTGAACCCAGGTCCTCTGCAAGAGCAGCCAGTCTTAACTGCTGAGCCATCTCTCCAGCCCATAAATATATGCTTGTGTATAGATATGGATATGTGTGTATGTGCGTATGTGTATGCTATTATGCATCAGAGCTTGGGCTCCTTGGAGAGCTGTACTGGTGTGTGGTGATGTTATCCAGGACACTCTCACAAGCATATGCTGAGTATTGTATGATTGCACTGGTATGTATGCTCCTGTGGTGTATCATGTGGGAATGAGAGTGAGAGAGTTGGCCTGGGTGGTGTGTTCTATGTGAGGATGGAGATGTAAGTTTGCCAGGGGTCATGGTGGGAAAGAAAATGAAGGTAGAAGTTGTGCTGGGGCAGAGTTCAGGCCTCCTGGCTTCCTGGAGAAGGCAGGATCTGGGCAGCTGGCTGGCAGGAACACTGGCAGGCCCTTCATCTTCTGTGTCCTTCTGTGTCACCCTCAGGTTTCCTGCCCCTTCTGAGGACTATGCAGTAGTCCTACTGACCCAAGAGTTGGGGCCTGAGGGGTGAGTAGGGTGGGGAATACAGTGAGGCTTTCAGGGTCAGGAAACAGGGTGGGGGTGGCCTTCCTGGGCCCCACAATGCCTGCCTCACAGCCCCCTCCTCCTACAAGGGCCCTGTTGCTAGGAAACAGATTGAGGAGCCAGAATGAGGCAGCTTGAGAGGCCGGAGGCTGGACCCATGACAGGAAATGGCCTTGATCCTCCTCTGCAGGGATCTCCAGGTGCAGGCACACAGCCCTCACTCACATGCACAAACATGTGCAGCTGCATAGATGTGTGCATACATACACAGGCACATACGCTTCTGCATAGAGCTGTGTACAGTCATAGTCACATAGATCAGAGGTGCGCACGTGCACACATACACACATACACAGATGCATATATATACACACTGTACTCCTCTAGATGTGCATATACATAGCCAAATATGTATGCAGGTATTAATATAGTTTTTTTTAATCTTTTTTGAGACATGGTCTCTATGTAGCCCCAGCTGGCCTGGAACTCGCTCTGTAGACCAGGCTGGCCTTGAACTCACAGAGATCCAGAGATCTCTGACTCCCAAGTGCTGGGACTAAAGGCATGCACCATTACACTCAGCCACATAATTTGTTTTTTAAAATGAGGTCTCATGTATCTCAGGCTCACTTGTCTTGATATGTAGCTAAGAATGGCCTTGAATTTCTGATCCTCCTGCCTCTACCATTCAAGTGCTGGGATTATAGACCTGAACCACCATGCTGGGTTTATGCAGTGCTGGCTGGGCATCGAACCCAGGGATTTGTGCATACTAGCAGGGATTTGTGCATACTAGGCAACCACTTTACCAGCTGAGCTACATATCAAGACCAGCACATACTTCTGTACACATAGACATTACCTAAGAGCTGCACACACACACACAAACACACACACATAAAGACACACAAGCAAAAGCACCATAAACGACTCACAGAAACACAGTACATCAAAGCAATGAAAGGCAAAACTTCATGGATCATTGGGAGGTAGAAGCAGGAGGATCAGAAGTTTAAGGCCATCCTTGGCTACGTAGTGTGTTTGAGGCCAGCCTGGACTACGTGAAACCCTGTCTCCAAAATGTATCCAACAAATACATAAAACAACATAGCGACATCCTGATGTAGACATCCAAGCCGTCTACTTACACAGATCGGAAAACAAGCACTGAGGGGCCACACACTCCCTCCAAACACAGGAAGGCAGCTAGGAGGCAGGCCCAAGGGTGGCCCAGCCCTACTTTTATCACTGACTTGGGAAGACCCCAATATGGGCTGTAAAGTAAGGGGATGGCTATGTAAGAGTGTGCGCACACACATGCCTGTGTGCCTAGGGTGGTACATCAGTCAGGGACCCCTGTCCCCATTCTGCAGCAGGACACCTGGAATGGGCTGTGTGTTGTGCAAGAAGGTGGTGCCCGCACCAAAGGAGGATGTTAGCCTGGAAGGGGACTTCAGAGGAGATGGGCCTGAAGAGCGCTATTACCCTGACCCTACTCAAGCTCGGTCTGCGTCCTTCTCTCCTCAACCCACCAGCCCTGCCTTCCTTGATGGGGGCAACATGAGGAGCATCTCAGGTGGGTCCCTAGGGCTGAAGGCAGGTGCTGCCTCCATCCTGGGAAAAAAACAGGGGAAGAGGAGATGCAGGAAACCCTGTCTGGAATGATTGGAGAGACACAGCCCTGCTCTCTAACTCACAGAGGCTGAGGGAATGTACATAGCCCTACCCTGGACCTCCGGTTTGGGGAAGTAAGATTCTGTTCTCATCTGAGAGGGACCCTGATAACAGATACAATGCAAGTGTCAAGACAGCCCTTCTAAGCCTGACTCAGTAGTGCATACCTGTAATCTCAGTACTTGGGAGGATGAAGCAGGGGCATCGTGAGTTCCAGTCTAACCTGGGCTATATAATGAGTCTCTGTCTGAAAAGAAACACACAACCTGCCGTGGTGGCACACACTTTTAATCCCAGCACTTGGGAGGCAGAGGCAGACCAATCTGTGTGAGTTCGAGGCCAGCCTGGTCTACATAGTGAGTTCCAGGACAG